GGTTGTGGCTTTCGATTGGGTCTTCGGGCTCGGGATCGCGTAGTCGGGGCTTGGTGCTGCGAGTTTTGCTGGCGCTCCACGAGTTTGGACTCTGCCTACCGTGAACCCATTGAAAACCTGAGATTTACGCTACATCTCTGAATGCTGAACCCTATCGTCCTGCACCCTATACCCTAAATCCGATCTGAACCCTAGTGAATGAGCTCTACATCTGAACCCAACCCGACCCCATCAGGGCCAAGGTGCAGAAGTCGTCCGCGGCTGGGTGGGGAACTTCACACCTTGCCTTGGAAGAGGATCCCTCGTGCAGATTCCACCAAACACGAATCCCAACGTAGGGCTTGAGGGTTTATAAGCTTTGTTGGCTTCGGGCTCAGCATTTACAGCTTCTGAGAGATGTGAGGAAGGTTCCGGTTGCCTGGACCTTTGGAGCTCGTCTCGAGCTTAGAGCAGTCTACAGTTGCCTAGAATTCGCAAGCCTATTGGATGAGTCTCCAATGCTTAAAGACGCCCGAGTCCTTACCGCGCTGCCCTGATAAAGGGCTGCTATAAGGATTATATGTGATATCAGTTTTGAAAAAAGACTGCTATACAGGTTCTATAAGGGTACTATGGAGTTTTGGGGTTGGGTTTCCAGAGTGCAACCTTGAGCTCAAGATCTCAAGAAGTTGGAAGAAGGGGTTTAGGGTTTAGGNNGTTTAGGTTTCAGGGGTTTGGGGTTTGGGTTTTGTTGCGCGTTTAGGGTTGAGGGTTTAGGGGGACCGAGCGCCACTAGCTTAAAGCCCGAAGCTCTTTACCCTCAAACCTTCGACCCGGAGGCCTCCGCCCTTAAGACCCTGAGCCCCAAGAATCCCAGAGTCAAGCTCGGTATTGTCCCAAATCCTGCGGCCAAACTTGCACAAGCCTCAAACTCAGCCACAACTATCCTCTACTCTTCTAAACAACTACCACTCTACTTTCAAAAACCGGAATGGCTCGTATAACAGGACCTTTGGCGATGGCTCAAAGCACGTCCGAGATCCCAGCAGCGATGCACCGCCGGTCTGTGAAGCTCCGGGGACGGCCCCGGTTGCAGCGTCGCGCTTCCTTGGAAGACTTCGGGGTTACCTGAACCTTTCGTGGCTCGTTCTGATGAGTCCCTTCTTTCTAGATGTCTTAACAAGGCAGGCTTTTGGGGTGTTGAGGGACTTAAGATTAACGGGTTTGTCGTTCGAGGGGGGTTTCGTGCTGGCGTTTCGGAAACCCCCACCCCGTTCAAACCTCAAACACCCTCCTCGGCAAATGAGGTCTCGCAGGATCTGGGCTCTCAGAACCCTCATCAGACTCGTCGACGGGAAGTTCAGTACTTGTCAGAGCATCCGGTTTGCGTTGGTCGGGCGCAGGACTCAGATTCAGGTGGATAATAGACTCCGACTCCTGGACTAGTGTTGGGAGGCCTGAATGATTACCTATACTAGTTTGGGGGGGTTCCTTATTAATTATAAGTATCGCATCTTATACCCCAAAATCCTATTCTAATGATGAAGGCCCCCGATATTATGCACCTTCACCCCGAGCTCTAAATCCCATGGCAGATCTCTGGACTTTCATCTCCGGCGGTCTCACTCAAGGTTTCGCGCTAGGGCGCACGGCTTCAAAAAAAACTAAAGCCTAAGCCCTAAGCAGGCTTCAGGCCAGATATAGGGTGACGGGCTGCTCGGTTCCTTGAGCCAAAGGGTTTAGGGGTTGGGGCTCTAGGGGTTAAGGCTTTAGGGCTTTAGGTGCTAGGGCTTGTGGCGTCTAAGTTTTCGGCTTAAGGTTGCGTGAGCTCCGGGGCTTCTGGGGCTGAGGGAGCTTACGAGTTTGTTTCAGGGCTCCAACACTCCAGCATAGGAGCCTTAAGAACTAGAAGAGGGCTGGGTCTATCGTAGTATGAGTATCCGCGAAAGGGGACGATAGGAGAATGTTATTGCTAAGTATAAAGATCGCGAACATTCAAGCTCTAGGATTCTAATCTAGGCTGGCCCCTTAAAGCAGCTGAAACATCTTCGTAAATAAGATCAGCTTAAGCCCAAGAAGAGATTCTATAGAACATCCCAAAGGCATACCTAGAAATGCTTAGGGCTTGGGGGATATCCCATTGAAGGCCTACCTAGCAATGCTTGAAGGGCCTCTGCACTGCTCACCCAGCTGTGCCCTGGGCTGGATCTCGATAAGCTGCTGCAGCAGCTGCGGCAAGGACACCGTCACCTTTCCGGGTCTCTTGGGGCTTAGGTTTTGGGGTTAGGGCTTAACGGGTTCAGGGTTTCGGGTTGGGTTTGGGGGTTTAGGGGCTGTGGAGTCTAGGACTAGGATTTGGGGCTTTACGGGCTCACGAAGCCGAAGTGAACTGTTGGCTTGAGGCCGAAGGCTTCTCCACAGTCCACCGAACAGTAAACCCAGACCTTACGTCCGAAACAGCCTGAAACCCAAAACTCGTAAACCCCTAAAGCCAAGAGGCACTGCAGAGTCAGGAGAACCTAAAACACGCAACATGAATATATATATATATATATATATGTATATATATATATATATGTGTATATATATATATATTTTATCATTATTAATATGTAGATGCCCACTCTCTACCCCCAATGCAAAACCTCAGAGCCGAAATCCTAAACCTCAACCCGACTTGGGGGCCCTTAATGCCAAAAGTTCTGTATTTGGGCATATTGTAGTACACTTCTATATTGCATTGCTGATTCTTCCGGACCCTGTATCAACCCCCAACCTCACAGCATCCGGGGTTCTGGCCCCAAAGCGGAAAGACAGGAGCTGCTCCTGGCCGCCCCGCTTTACGGCTTCAGGGTTTCAAGGGTTTCAAGGCATGAGTGCTGAGGGTGTTAGGGCTGTTAGGGTTTGGGGTTCGGGGTGTAGGCTTCAAGGGTGTAGAAGGGTTTGACGTTCGGGGTTGAACGGCGCAGACCTCCCACAAATCTGCTATTTTGCTGTTCTCTGAGGCCGAATGGCCTTCCTCATTTGACTCCTGTCCTCACTACTTTCCGGCGCCTAGTTGCACATCGTTCCAGCTGAAAAGGCAAAGTACCCGAAGCCCTCCACGCCTGATTCTCTACTGCTTCTGCGCACGCAAGATCGCAAGAAGAGGAGGAGGACGAGGAGGAGTAGTCGTCGTCGTCGTCGGTGGGGGAGGCGGAGGAGCAGGAGTGGTATCAGCATCAGCTGGAGCAGGAGGAGGAGGAGCAAAGGCACACTCTCAACATCAGCAGCAGGACCCGCAAGAGGAGTAAAGACAGCAAAGGCATCAATAGCCGCAGACGCAACAGAAACAGCGCAGCAGTAGCTGCTGCCGTGTCGCACAGAGTAGCACCAACTGCGACAATAGCAGCATTGGTAGTGCGTGAATGAGAAAGTATTGTTCTATTGCTGCTAACCCCAAGGGGTCCTGAGTCTGTGGGTCGAAAGCGACGTCAACGCCGTAGCTCTGCGCCGTGAAACAAACATTGACTGGTCCCTCCTGGTTTGCTCGGAAGCTTGTGGGATCTGGGCTCGAGGCCTAACGCTTTGACAGTCACAGGTGAGACTGCTGTTTCCGGATTTAGCTTGTAGTGAATGGTTTTCATTCTCATACTGAGGACTTAGCATGTAGACTTCAGTGATCTATGCCTGTAGGACTGAAATTAGGATTTTGGCGGGAATCATTCAGCTATTGCATCATGTCACGAATCCCCAACCGGCCGCTGTGCCACTCATGGATCATCCTGGAGTGCCTCGGAAAACTAGGATCCAAGTTTTACAGTGGAAGCTCCGAGCCCCAAGTACTAACCCCAAATCACAGGGCTCGGGCACCGCGAAGGTAGACCAAAAGGTTTGGGGAAGGTCACTGGTGCCCTTCTTTGTTGCTAGCGCTGCAAAGCTTAGACTTGCAGGCACAAGGGCCTGAATGCCCCTGACCTTCATGACCTCTGCTTTAGAGCTCAGCTTGTGTGTTGAGACTAGGGACCATGGTCTCGCGGGAAGTTTGGGGTGGTTCGGCTTGCGGTGTCCAGGGTGTCCAGGGCTCAGAATCTAAAACCCAGGTTAGGCATCAAGCTCAAGCCCTAAACATCTTCCCGGACGCAACAAAACTACTCCAGTTAATGCTAGAGTGGGATGGAAAAGAAGCCGAGATTGGAAGCCGAGACTATGTGCATAGGGTCCGTAACCATTAGAAGACGGTTTTGGGCTACACTGAGGGACATCATCACTAATCATCCCGACCCCGCTGTATTCAACGGCAAGCTCGCAACTTCGGATTTAAACGCTCTTAGGGCTCAATGTTTGTGCGAAACTGATGTGTGCCACGACATCGCAGGGAGGTCGGGTTAAAGAGCTTCGGGATTGGGAACTACGGTCTCGGGCTCAGGGTTTGGAAGTTGAGGGGCTTCAACTGAGATTCCTGGCCTAGGATTCTCAGAGCCCTAAATCGGCTTGGCTCAATAGCGGTCCTGAACCATGGCTACAAACTTTATGAGTGCAGTGGCAGCAAGGTGGTCGACTGCAATGACGCTGTAGGACTCTTTCGTGCCCTGCTCTGCTGGTTCAATGTTGTGCTTTTGACCTTGAATCCGACAAATGATGATCTTCGCGGGAATGCTGTAGTGAGATATCTCTAATCGCAAGAGGTTGTCTTCCCGGCATTGTTTAGCCAACTTACAGAATGCATAGCGTAAGTGTTGCGACCGAAAGAGCTATCCTATAATCCGAACGCTGTGACAAGGAAGTGAGAAGCATGCTGTTCTCCGAGCCGCTGCGAAGTGGCGCGAATACATGCATACTCTCCCGGTATTTTTTGAAATTTCAGTTTATCCCTGGAGAGTCTTTTGAGTTCTCGGGTATGTTTCGGATTTTGTGTAGACCCTGAGTATTCGGATTCAAGCGCCACGACGGCAACTTCAACCAGAGAACACAGGACCGTTGCCACGACAACGGCTAACGGCTAGGACTGGGGACTGCCGCCGATACAGCTGCGACGGATGAAAAAGAAGAAGAAGAAGAAGATGATGATGATGATGATGATGATGATGATGACGATGACGATGACGATGACGATGATGATGATGATGATGGCGTTGTCAATTTGACGCTGAAGGTTCAAGACCATCATAGTCTGACCTCTCGAAGGCCCAGCCAGGCCTTAAGACCATCATGATGCAAGATCCCTCGTGCAGGCCCGACAAAACCCGCCTCAACCCAGCAAAAGTCCTGCCTCCAGATCAACGTAGCCAAAATCCTCCTAATATTCGCCCCAAGATCTTCGTGAACCGGAATGTCGCCTCCAACCGAAGAACAAGCCCTTCACAGGCTGGAGGAGTTAGGGTTAGGGTTTGAGTCCAACGGAGCTTAGAACTCCTGTTCTCACTGCTGCTACGATGCGTGAAAATACTCTGTTAGAAGTTGGTCGGGCCTTTGCATTGAAGAGGGCTTAGGCCTAAGGACATCGGGTTTCCGGGAAGGCGGTGCAAGGCTGCCCTTCTTTTGGTCGCGGTCCACGGCACGGCCTTCTTCTCGGCCGCAAGAGACAAGAGACTGTCCACAGCCAAGCTCGAGCATACCCAATCCTTCTCACCATAACCTTGCTTCCCGCCTCGAAACCAGGAAACCCCGCGCTGGCAATCCAAACCCACATCCGCAGACCTGCAACCCTGAATCGACAGCCTTTAGGTTTAGGGTTTGGGGTTTAGGGTCCCTTGGAAAGCCTAGCTGGGCCTAGCTGTTGCTGGAGCTACGCCGCCCCCTTCGGCGCCGACTGCCGCGATTGCGCCGGCCACGACTCTTTCGGCTCCGGCTCCGATCGCTTCGGCTCCGGCTACGGCCTGAATGGGCTTAGGGCTTCGGGTTTAGGCTTTTGGGTTTAGGGTTTTAGGGTTTAGGGTTTAGGGTTTAGGGTTCGTGTTGAGGGTTCAGGCTTCGGGGCTAGGAGTTATGAGCTGAAGACCATGGTTTGTTGGGCTTTCGGGTTTGCCGCTGTGCATTTTAGGACTCCCATGTTGAGGCGGGCGTAGTTAGGGCTGCAGTGTTCAGAACTTCAGGGTCTTGGGGTTTATTCAAGTCTTACGGTAACGTGTTCATGATGTCCGGATTGATAGCTGCTGCCTTCCGCGTTTTGGGCATAGGCTCTAACGGTTTTCGCGCTTAGTGGGTCGTACGATCTCTATGCAGCTCTTGTAGCTTGAGGTTTCGGACCTTGGGTTTTTGCACGAACTAGGTTCATGAATCTCCTTTGTAGACCGTATTCTGTCTGCTTTTCTACAGTCTGCACCGAATTCAACTCCACAATAAGCACCATCCACCAAGCCCGCAATCCAGATGCACCATGAACCAAAACCCAGAAAGCCCTGAATCCTGTATCAACCTAGGACGGCACCGCTGGGTAGCCGACCCTTGCCGGCTCTCTGCCGACCACGACTTCGACTGCCACTTCGCCTCAGCAACTTAGAGGGGGTTCTGCTATAGCTGATGTCTCTTCTTAGGATGGATAGCACCTCGCCTTCAATACCTCCGGAGCAGCAACCACAGCCCTTACTCGCCGTATCCCCGTCCTCGATTGTCCCACTTCTTCGCCAACACTGAAATCCCCAGCTTGCCAGATCCTCATCCGGATATACACCCTGATCAATTCCCTACAAAGCTCTCATCAAAGACATGCTGCCTCGGCGTCTCTGCAGGCTTCTCTGCCGAACGCGCCGGTCGCGAACCCTCCTTGCAACTTGCATGAGCTTGAAACGGTTCATAGTCTTGGGTCTGTGGTCTTTGGGTTCAGGGTCTTGGGTTTGGGGCTTCGGGTCTCTCGGATTTGCGATAGGATGCAACGGCCTTTACCATCTGTTTGGCCTTGTTACGTGGTGATGTTGCGGATTTGAGGTTTAGGGCCAGCACTTGGAAAGCTTAAGGTGAATCGGGTAGGGCAACAGGTTCTGGGGGCATGTAAAGGTAAATCCTCGCACAATCATCCGCGCTCCCACTAAACTCTTATTCTCGGCAATGCCATGAAACCCCAGCTCCCTACAGGGAGAATCCTAAAGCTTGAAAACCCTAAAAGGGCCTAAACCCTGAACCCCATCAGGACCCCAACAGGTTCAGGGTTGAGGATTTTGGTGTTCAGTGCAGCATCGAGGGAGAATGCATGAAGTTCGGCTGGTCCTCTTTCGGGCCCTTCCGTGGGTCCGGCGGAGGGCCGGCGACGTCGATTGTGAGGACAGAACCTCGTACCTCTCCGTGCAACAAACTAAGAGGGTTTAGAGTCTAGACACGGCCCAACAAAAGGCGCCAGCATATTACAGTTTGGGCTCTTGGTGGAGGGCCTTGGGATGAAGTTTCGAGGCACCTGGTTCAGGATTCCACGGCAGGTCGTGTTCAGCCTGCGACCGTCAAGACCCTTAGCTGTACATGGCGATGGCTGTAAACTAAGCCGTCCAAAGTCCAACTTCCTTCGGGTTTTTCAGCTTGGCGGGCAGTTCCGACAGCGAGGGCTTCGGAGATAGGCTTATGGATGAGACATGTTGCGAGAAGGCCCGAGAGCTTCTCTTGAACAAATGCTCAATTCCGTCCGCCCCGAGCCGCCAACCGAAGCCGCAAACTAGGCTTCTTTCATGGTTGCAACCAGTATCATCATCATAGTCATAATCATCGCCACCATCATCAATATCATCATCATCATCATCATCATCACCATCATCACCACCATCATCATCATCACCATCATCATCAGCAGCAGCAGCAGCATCATCACCATCATCAGCATGAGCGGCGTCATCATCACGCGGCACGACGCGTGTCGTTGTCAGCATCACATTTCATTCAACATCATCTGCATCCTAATCATCGTCACATTCTTCTTCTCGACATCTCAATACAGCGATACAGCCATGGCATGACAATGGTAACAGCATGCTTATAGCCATACCCCAGCTTTCAAGCAAAGAGTGAGAAGAAGCCCTGAGAGCCTATGTGGCCCTGATGTAGGGGCCTTAGTAGTTAGAATAGGGTTTTGGGGTATAAGATACTTAATGACGAACCCAAAATAGTGTAGGTAATTATCAAGGCCCCTTATGTCCCTATATTATAGACATGGCACCATGTGGCTAAAACCCAAGTTCGCGGTGGCCTTCTTGCCGTTCAGCGAGGACATTGCTTCTTTGGCATCTGCCTTCTGCCAGGTCGGGATGGGCTTAGGGTCTGGGGTTTAAGGGTTTTTTGTGTGGCTTGGAGCTGACTCTCTTCATCCCAAACCTGAGGCTGAAGCTGCACAGCCCACCCTTGGACAACATCATCCGAACTCAAGTGCGAAGCCTGATCCTCATCGTTCCCTTGAAAAGCGCAGTGTTGGGAGTTTCTTAAATTCGTACCCTGACATCCCGCAGCTGTCGAGGCAGTGTTCCAGAATCTGAACTGGACTCGCGCCCGGATGTCCTGGAACCCACCTCTGATAACCTACACTTCTACTCCACGAGGTGCAAGGAAGAAGCCAGGACAGATCTGATATCTACAGCCTAGCCCCCTAATCCCCAGAACTCCGAATTCGAAACCCAAGGTACAGATCCTCGTCTCAAAGCATATCCGGCCCTCCGTGCTCTGACCCTCTCGCGACGCCTTCTCTTGGTACCTCGGCCGAATAAGCACAGTTACAGTTTTTGTCTTAGGGCCGTTTTCGGGTTGAGGGTTCAGAGTATACGGTGTCTGTAGGGTTTAGGTCTTACGGCGGGCTTGGGTAGGGTTTAGGTTTTACGGTGGGCTCAGGGCGTCGAGTTGTGCTTCCGGCAGAGGCTACAGTCGACCTGGCATATGGGACACACATACCATGACAGAGAAATCGGAACCACTAAGCCCGGAGGGAGGTCGTGCTTGCTGCTTCAGTGCAGCCCTGGAGAAAGCCCAAACCCCAACCGCAGCACTGAGTATGTAATGATGTAATCATGTAATGCTTAATGGAGAGCAACCTCCCAAAGTCCGAGAGCCTGCGTTTGCGGAAGTCCTGTGCAACCAAACAGGACATAAAAAAACTCAGATGCATCCTTCTGCAGTGGCGCTCCATGAAGCTACTCTGATCATGTGTAAACATTTAGGAAGTACAAGTGCGCAGCCAGACGTATTTCGAAACCCTCCTGTGAGAGGCATGGCTTAGGCCTGGGCTCCACAAAAGCCACCCCCTTTCCTTGTAGGACATGGATCCTGCAAAGTCAAGGGGTTCCGCTATGCGGAAAGCAGTGTTTGAGTAACGTGGGAATTTTGATGTGTAGGATGTGTCAGGTGTAAGGCGCTGGGGTTCGCGATATGGAGTTGTCGTGTCGCGGGCTGTGAAGTTGTGGGTGATGAGTCAAGCATCCATTGCAGGTCCCACTGGGTACCAGTACTTCGGCGGCCGAGAAGAGCCTGAACTTCAACCCTGAATCCCGCAACACAAGGCTCAAACCCTAAAGCTGGACCCGGAGCCCTAAACCTGAAGGCGAAACCCGAGGAAATAAACCCTGAAACCAGCTTCTGCTTGTACCTGAACGACAGACAAGCTCCCAGGACACTAAACTGCCTTGAATCCACCGCCACCGCAAGAACGTCGTTTTA